AATACAAATTGCTTATCATATAAAAACATATGCAATTTCGGTTCCCATCTTTAAGAAAAAGAATATCAAAGTTTGAATACAAAAATAGAAATAGGGTCTTTATTGGAAAGTACCTTGCAAATGACAGCCCCTGAGGCTTAGGTTACTGTGCTAGATACTGGGACGTCCTGGAGAAAATAACAGACACTGACTCTCATTACGATTCTTTTTTTTTTTTTATGATAGTCATACAGAGAGAGAGAGAGAGAGAGAGAGAGAGAGGCAGAGACACAGGCAGAGGGAGAAGCAGGCTCCATGCACCGGGAGCCCGATGTGGGATTCGATCCTGGGTCTCCAGGATCGCGCCCTGGGCCAAAGGCAGGTGCCAAACCGCTGCGCCACCCAGAGATCCCTCATTACGATTCTTTAAGCTGTATGAGTTTCTGGCTGCACAGACATTACAACTGCTCCATGAGTATTATTAACATGAGGTTTTGACTGAATAAGCATACTCAGTTTAGCCATGGTGAATCATGAAGCAAACCCAATTGTTTTTGTCTGTTTCCCAAGTTCTCAAAGGATCTGTCACATACATATATTAAAATTTAAGCTTATTTATAGATATGCTCATACAGTATCAGTATCTGCTTTTTGAGTTAACTCAGGAAATAAAGAGAAACAAACCAGAAAGATTTTTTTTTTTAATCTACGAAGTTCAAAAGAATCAAGCAGAGAACAAAGAAAAAAACAAAATGAATCACTGGTACAGATCATTGGGGAGTCTGAGATTGTATATGGCCAATCACACCACTCACTGTTTTGTTGGGTTTCCTTCACTTATCAAGTAAGTCTGTTGGCTGTCCTGGCATAAGATGACATAACTACCATTTGGCTTAGTCTGTCTTTTTGGAAGACTGAACCAAAATGTTTCATGAAATTACTATAATTTTTGCCCTTGAATTTATCAGAATACATTCATTAATGTTAAACCAGGAACCAATTTCTTATTTTTCCACAAACAGTATTATAAAGAACTAAACTTAAGAGGGATGTCCACTGGCTTTTATTTGTCTTAATTGGGAAAATTTTTCAAAATAATCTTCAGAGAAGCAAAAGTCAGGTTAGCATGACACATTAGTGAGACATGAAAGCAAAACAAGAGAAAAAACCACTTCAGTAGAGATGAGAAAAAGATAAACAACTGTCAGAGGGTGATGTTGAAACAATTTCCTGCTGTAAGTCTGAAGGTGAAAGATCACTTTCTAGTAATTATGTTTCTCTCTGAGTAAAACAGGAAAAGCAGCTAGACATTAATAGACAGTCATTACACCACAGAATTTTGAGGTCATTAAATCACACCAGGTAGAAAACAAAGATACCCAAATGAGAGCTATACTATTTTCATTTAAAGGAAAAAGATTGTTTGAAACTTAAATAATTTAAAACATTTTCATAGAATAGGATTAAATTTGGGAAAAATGTACTCAGTTAAAATGTGACAATTTCAGGAATTAAAAACTAAGATTAAATACTATGACGCTCTGATATTTGTTATGAAGAATGGTATTATTGTGAAACAGGATTTCTTATATTACATAACCTAGCTGACCAAAAAATACAAGAACAAGAAAAACAATCCGAATGATGAATCCCATGTATAGCCAATTTAAAAGCCAATTTGAAGGTGGCATTAGAAGAAATTGGACATATAATTTACTTATAACAACATGTGAAAATGTGCTGTAAAACTGTCCATTAAATCTTTCATTTGTTAGATTTTATCCTGCCTACTTCTGATTGAGTTTGGAAAAGACTTAAAACAAAACACACACATATTATTATATTTCAAAATAAAGTTTTAGAGAAAGATCACAAAGCTATAATGTAAGGCAATTATTAGAAATTTAGAATAAGGAAAGTAATGCATTAAAACTTTGATAGTGTGTGTGTTACAGAATACATAACAGAATAATGCATCAATGAATAATATAATGAAGGGGTAATGATATTTGTCATCCCTTTGAACAAATTTACTCTATTAATGAGATATACATTTTCTAAAGAAAGTAAGGAATGAATCCATTAGCATCAATGAAAGTGGTAAGGAAAAGTTACTAATAAACAAATGGACTATTACTTATAAATAAATATTGGGAAAAGCATAAAGGCACAAAGGCGCATGCTTTCTTGTACAGGAATTATGAACATTAACATTCAAGAGAAATAATCATTTTATTATGCTAAGTTTTACTATTTGTGAATAGATACACCTGCAAGAAAGTTTTAAAAAAATATACTTAATGTTGAATAATGTGAAGTTTTGCTATTAATTTCCAAATTAACTGCTTTTTAAATAAAAATATTGTAATGCTTAAGGAAAAATTGTCCTTTTAAAAGAAAAGCATAGGTACAAAATGATGTTAATAATACATATTATTAATGAGTAAATATTTGAATGAGAATGTTATGAATAAGTTGAGTAAAATGAGTATACTGAGAGTAAATGAGTAAAATGAAAATATTAACCAAATTAAAAAAACATTTTCTATGATTGCTATTAAAAGGTGTAACAGAGTGGGGAATGGGATGTACCTAATTCACATAGAAACAATTCTAAGATATTCCTTTCAAATGATTTTAAATGAGATAAGGTGGAGAGTCAGTGATACGTTTCAATTTCCTTTTCTGACAAATCTCAGTATAATTAAGAAGCTATTGGAAGAACACGTCTCATCACTTTTTTTACATAGCAGTCTACCACTGTGGGATTAAAGAGATCCATGTAATTTTAAATCCTATCCTTCCTACACAATGGTTTTCCAAAGCATCAGTGATGGTAGGACTGTGGATTTTTCTTAACGGCTTTACCAAAAACAATCTAGCAAGAATGTCTATAGAGGTTATTTGGTATTGAAGGCAGTTCTAGTAGAAAGCTTGATACATAGATCTATGCTATAGAAGTATAGCTTACCAAACAAACCAAAATAAATGAAACTAAATTGACAGGTAGCAATTTGCTTTGGCTTTCGATGATTTTGCTCCACTTTTCCTTTCTCATCAAATAGATTTTGAAATATTAGTGGATATGGACATTAAACTTCGAACAAAATATTTAAGAGTAGGATTTTGAGACAGCACATTCAGTTGAAATAAGATAGATATGAAGTAGATAAGAAAGAAAATTATCAAACGAGATCAGGTAAGGAAAATTAAAATACAAAAAATTCATCTGCATTGAAAATAATAAAGCCCACAAACAAAATGACAATAACTGAATCTGTGACATAGAAAAAAAAGTCTCAGGTTAAGTGGAAAAGAAATAAATTACTGAGGAGAAAAGAAATTAATAGCTATGGAGTCAGAGCTCAAATGCACATAGAATCACTAACATGAATACTAATAAAATATTTTTCCCAAAAGTTAAGTACTCGAATAATGGAAAAAGGAACATTTTTTAAATTAATTCTGAATAGATAAAATAGTAAAAGAAAGACCTGTTTGAGATTGTTAATTTTTTTTTTTACCCTGGTGAACATTTTGAATTTTAGGATGAATGTGCACATTATTAAGTTATTCTCACATTGTCTCTTCTATACTGTACTTCTCTCTTCTATACTGTACTTTATGATGTTGGACATGCAATTCTGCAAACCATTTTTATGATTTGCCACCTGGTTCTATTTTTGGCAATAATGAATAGAAGAGGGAAACTGAAAGACTAGGGGTTGGGGAGATCATCTTGTTGCTTTTTGTTTTGTGTTCCTATAAGTATCACCTCATTCTTTCTTTTTGTAGGTGGCAGTTGTTAACACAAAAATCAACCTTATTGAGATCCCTCAGAACCATCAGCACCAGCTGACTGGCACCTTCTCCCCAGGGCTCAGGTCCCAGGCTAAGTGGTCCCTCTTTCCCATCCCAGATACCAGCACTAGCTAACCAGTGGTCCAATGGCAGATGTCTGGGCTTCAACTGCGTAGGTTCCACCTCCAAACTTGAGTATCTTGATTATTATAATCTCTTCTTTTTGTTATTCAACACTAGGGGAGGTAGTTGTTTCCTTTATTATTATTTTTAAAGATTTTGTTATTTTTCCATGAGACAGAGAGAGAGAGGCAGAGACATAGGCAGAGAGAGAATCAGGCTCCCTGCAGGACATCCAATATGAGACTCGCTTCCAGGACTCCTGGGATCACAACCTGAGCCAAAGGCAGATGCTCAACCACTTAGCCATTCAGGCACCCTGTTCCTTTAGTTGATACATTTATGATATAGTGTTCTCTTGTTGACTTTTTGGTTAACTAATTAAACTTTTGCAGTTGTCCAGGACCAATGTGTTATTAACTTTGTTTAGGGCAGGAGGTTCTCATGGGAGTAAGAGGGAGCATGTTTTGTCATCCTCACAGGATATTAGGCAATGTCTGGAGACTTTACGGTTGTCACACTGAGATAGAGGTAGAGCTGGCATCTAATGCCTAGAAGCCCAGAATTCTGCTGAACACCCAGCCATGCACAGGACAGAGCCTCACTTCCAATAAAGAATTATCTGGCCCCAAATTTCAGCAGCATTGAGACTGAGAATTCCTGATTTAGGGCTACAGAAATGGAAATGGTGGAAAGTGAACACACTAGGTATAGTCATGCAAAAAATATAGACTAAGCACCAAACTTTTAGTAACATTTTGAATAACATTTTGAAAGCTCTTCAGATAATTTTACCAGAAAGTAGGTAAATATGCAGATCTTTAGTGGAAATAATTCTCATGGAACATATTTGATGCTGCTTTAACTGGCAATTAATGTGAAGTTTTAGTTTCTGTTTTATGTGGAGAGACAACCAGAACAATATGCAATCTTTGTCAATTATCCAAGAAGACAAATTTAAAAAAAATAGCAATCTTAAAATATTTAAAGAGATATTTATTGAGTCAGCTTACTAAAAGTTATTTTAAAAGAATACTTACTCAAAAATTTTTTTTCAAAAAAAATTTTTTTTTCAGATAAAAGAATAAAAATCTACTCACTTGCCATTCAACGCTGCTACACCCACTGTGCTTCGGGCAATGGACATACTGGCTACAAATGTCCATTGCTGACTCTGGGGGTCCCACCTCTCCACGGTGTTCAGATAGCTCCAGCCATCATGGCCTCCCACAGCATATATAGGACCTTCGAGTACTGTTACACCTAAAACATAGGATAAATGAAAACTAAATGGGATTTATTTCACACTGAGATTCTTAAAAATCAGATTAATAGTAAAAACTGTGATGTAATTCAGAGTAGGCTCTAGCTATCACACAATAGCAGTGGGGTAGAAACTATTTACTATTAATTGTATCATTTTTATTAAAGTGAAAAAAATAGAACTAAAAATAAATGAGATCTAGATACTTTATAAAAGAAAATAAATTTTCTTATTTATATCTCTATGAAGAAGCAAATTCTAAAACATCAGAAATGCTGTATAGTATGCCTCTACTTTTGAAGAACATTTCTATACTGCAGTTTGAAGTAGTTTATTACTTTAAGCTATATTACCTTAAAGCAATGCAATATTATCAATTTGAAATTTAGGGTAGGATTTTCTGTGTTTTGGCTTCTAGGTAACTTCATGATAAAGTGATCTAAAGGTTAGAAAATGATGCGTTTTTTATTATAACCTGAAATCACTAAACATTAGCAATTAAGACATATTAATGAGTCATCAATGGAAGGGGATTATATACATATATAATATATATATGTATATGTATATAGCTTTTCCACTATATTCACTTCTTTATACATGAATTTTCTTAAATGTTAACAATTGCTAAATATTTAAATATCATGTTAATATTGGCTGAAATGATTTCATTATATATAGAGAAATTCTGATAAAATTTCCTTCAAAGTTCAAAGTCTGATTGTCAAGGGCTTTGAAGAGTCTGATTTTACCCTACTTGCCAGCTGATGAATTAGACTGCCATCAATTTATGTATATCGGTAGAAGACATGAGATTTCTGGGTTGGAGGAAAAAGATAATTCATTACTCTATATAATAACAGCAATAGTCAGAATATCACTTTTCTTCTTCTTCTTCAAGCCCCAGTTCCAACAGGATGACCCAAGGAGGATGACCAAGATGACCTTACCATTTCTCTTAGCTTGACCAAAATTTAGACAAGATTCTTCTTGTTTCCAGGGCCCTGACCTCATTTTCCTTAGAGCACTTATTTTAGAAAACGTGTAATTGTACATTATTTCTCTGTCCTTTCTATATGGAAATCTTTTTATTCCTTTTTTTTTATTATTTATGATAGTCACACACAGAGAGAGAGAGAGAGAGGCAGAGACACAGGCAGAGGGAGAAGCAGGCTCCATGCACCGGGAGCCCGACGTGGAATTCGATCCCGGGTCTCCAGGATCGCGCCCCGGGCCAAAGGCAGGCGCCAAACCACTGCGCCACCCAGGGATCCCTATATGGAAATCTTTTTAAATGCCTCCCACTTGTGTTAAAACCCAGGACCTTTTTCTCAAGGAACTATTTCTTTGAAATGTAAACTTCAAGAAAATATTGAGAGCCTAACATCAGTTGGCACCTTGCTTCAAGTTCTAAAACTACCTCTCGTCATGAAGATAGAAAATTTACCTTACCTTTGGGCAAGACCAATCAGCAAACAGGTTGCCTATGATCCCCTGCACCTATATGAGCTCTTTTTTTTTTTTTTCTCCTACCTGAGCTCTTAAAAACCCTCCTCCCTTTCTTTTGGTGAGGTTGAGTTCAGCCTCAATTCTGGCCTATCTCCCCTGTTGCAATAGCCTTGAATAAAGTCTCCCTTGCTTGTTAAATTTGTCTAATGCATTTTTTGCCTTGACAAGGATCAGTTGGAACTTGAACATGCAGTGGATTGTATTATGAGAAAGGAAATAAATTTATAATGATCAATAAACCTATCACACAATAGCAGTGGGGTAGAAACTATTTACTACAGAAGGAGATATTATCTTCATGCATTTAAGCATGCCTGCTTTTCACTTTGGAAAGAAGAACTCTGTCTATTTTAGCCTTTCCATTATATTAACATCCTTTTAGGCAGTCAATGCCTTCCTGGAAAGTTGTACAGAAATGTGAGAGACCTTTGGAGGACTGTCTTTTAACACAAACCTGAAAATAAAACGACTTATTGTTCATTCATTCATTCATTCATTCACTCATTCATTTGAATGTCTATTATGTGTCAAGAATTGTTCTTAGTACCAAAGATGCAGTGCCAAGAACACGGAGTTGAACAAGGCAAACAAAGTTCCTGCCCTCATTGAGTTCATATACATTGATCAATGAATATTAACTAAAATGGAATAAGTACATTATTCACAGTGAGCAAGTCCTTCACACATATCATACAATTATAATTCAACAAAGGTTAAAGTAACTGATTAGGATTTCAAAAGCTCTCATACATATATTCCACTTAAGAATGCTATTTTACACACATCAGTAAATAGATACTTATATGGAGGACATGGTTCTGACTCAGTGATTGCCAAAAATCAAAGGGCATAAACTTTGGATGTTGATCTTTCTTTATTTTTTTTTTTAATTTTTTATTTATTTATGATAGTCACAGAGAGAGAGAGAGAGAGAGAGGCGCAGAGACATAGGCAGAGGGAGAAGCAGGCTCCATGCACCGGGAGCCCGACGTGGGATTCGATCCTGGGTTTCCAGGATCGCGCCCTGGGCCAAAGGCAGGCGCCAAACCGCTGCGCCACCCAGGGATCCCTGATCTTTCTTTAGACAGCTCAAAGTAAGAGGTAGGAATCAGAAGGGATGAATAAATGTTAAATATTTGGGGGAAATTTCCAAAGGATATGGGTATATCTTTTGGGCTTTTTACAGAAGCATGTACAATCATTCACATGTCTCAATGATGATTAATTATAATAAGACAAAATTAAACATTGGTGAAGTTTTTAAGGATCTATCCATCAGAAAGGGCCAGATATTAGCATGAATCTAATGAATTTGGATTTTGTTTCTAAGAGCAAAGGGAAATCACTGAAGTGTTTATTAATGAGGGATATGATCACCACAATACTTATTTTGGTGGTGTTGTAGCAAATGGATTGGAGTAATTTTAGGGTGGCAGTAGAGAGGTGGTTAAATTGCAGTTATCCAAAAAGGAGAAGATGGTAGCTTCCACTAGTAGGTTAAAGAATAAATACTGAAGAGTAGAAATATTTGAGATTTATTCTAATTCTGGAGGTTTGTTGTTAGAACATGCTAATGGATTGGATCGGAGTATATTAATAAAAAGGACGATTCATGGACAGATGAATTGAATGAAAAAATTGAGAACTACATTTTGAAGATATCATGTTTGAGGGGCTATTGGACATCTAAGTGGGGCATTTTAAAAGGCTGTTTAAAATACATGTCAAAAGTTCAAGTCAATGTTGGAGGTACATGTCTAAATTTTGGACATATCAGGAATGATATGGCATTTAAAGGCATAGAATCAGATAAGGTCACTTAACAAAATAGTATTAAGAGAGAAGGTAACAGAGACCAGAATCTAGCCCTGAGTGACTTTAATATCAATTATAAGAAAAGAGAACGAAAGAGAGAAGAAATGGCCAGATGGGTGGAAGGAAAACCGGAAGCTTTTGGTATCTGAAAATAAGAGTGGAGAGTGTTTTTATGGGGATGAGGTAATCATCCACTTGCATATTTCTTTTTTTTTTTTCACTTGCATATTTCTGACTGAGTACAAATTTCTATTGGGTTTTGGAAAGACACAGGTTCTCTTTCAAAATAGGTTCTGGAGTATCATACTACAAGTTATAATACAATCCGATAACTACTTAATCAAATATATATCCTATAAAAATCATCAATCTGTGATTTTTTTTAACTGTTTGAGATTGACTTTATGAACATGTTTCAGTTCAGTCCTAGAGTGTAACATATATAAAATGCCACCGATTTATGAACACTGGATGCCTTACAGAGTGATTTGCATATTTTGCAGCTGTGATAAGTGGACCAGAATAATTTCAAAATTGGAATGATACATTCAAATTCTTTCTTATGTTTACCAAAATTATCTTACAGATGCAGTAAAGCAAGGTTCACAGTGTAAAAATATTCTTCTGTGCTTTGTTCAGTAACAATATTAAACCTGCACTAAAAAATACTTCAATTGAAATATTTTCATGTGTCTTATTTTCTCATGTCTCATGTCTCATGTCTCATATTTTCATATGTCTCAATTGAATGATTATTTCTGATAAAGAATCTCAAAATGTCTTTTTAATGTTTTATGTTACCAAATTGTACTTTTTGAAAACACATAATTACTTACCTATTTTAAACTATAGGGCCTGCACATATTATTCTCCTTAAGACCTCTGCTGTAAAATATTTAGTAAAATTTTCCTTTAGAGGGACACTTGGTTGGATCAATGGGTTAAGCATCAGACTCCTGACTTCAGCTCAGGTCTAAATCCTAGGGGCTTGGGATCCAGCCCCACACTGGGCTCTGTGCTTAGTGCGGAGTCTGCTTGTCCCTCTCCTTCTGCCTCACACCCCATTCATGCTCACTTTATCTCTCTCTCTCTCTTTCTCAAAACAAATAAATGAATCTTTAAAAAAGTAAAATTTAATTTTACTCACATAATTTACCTTAAAATATTTATTTTACTATAATCCATGTAAATACAACCAGACATTTATTTTGTTCTCCTAAAAAAGAAACCTTTCTCTACACTTGTTAATATAATCCATTTAAATATCATCCATTTAAAATATTGCTAAATTTGGGGCACTCGGTTAAGTATCTGCCTTTGGATCAGCTCATTATCTCAGGGTCCTGGGATTGAGCCCCAGGTCAGGCTCCCTGCATTGCAGGGGAGTCTGCTTCTTCTTCTTCCTCTGCTTGTGCTCTTTCTCTCTCTCTTTTTTAAGATTTTATTTATTCATTCATGAGAGACACACACAGAGAGGGAGGTAGAGACACAGGCAGAGGGAAAAGCAGGCTCCATGCAGGGAGCCCAATATGGGACTCGATCCTGGGACTCCAGGATTATGCCCTGGGCTGAAGAGAGGCACTAAACCGCTGAGCCACCCAGGGATCCCTCTCTTGCTCTTAAATAAATAAACAGATAAAACCTTAAAGAAATAAAATATTGCTAACTTTATTCG